ACCACATCTTCTTTATCCATTACTTAATTGGGTTTTAATTTGCATTTCTGTATGAGTGAAATTAAATATATCATATGTAAGGGCCATTGTATTTCTTTTTTTAGTGAATCATCTATTCATGTCTTCATTCTATCAGGTTTTCATCCTTCTGTTATCCTTGATTTTTTTCCCTTAATTTTTAAGAATCCTTTTTACATTAGGATTCTGTGATATATTTTATGAATATTTTCTTTCAGTTTATTATTTTCCCAAGTCTTTTGACTTTGATACACTGCTCTGAAGAGCATTCTTGTTATAGATATCTTTTAGCACTTTAGGATACACTTCTAAAAAAAGGAATACTTTGATCAAAGTGTATGGGCATTTAAAATGTATATGTAATGCTGTTTACTATCACTTTGCTAGATGGATTGTATCTTATTTTAATTTGTTTTTGATTACTTGTAGGGTCAAAACACAGGGAGCAGTCATTATTTTTGTAGGTTAAATGTTGGCAGTTTCATGGTCCAAATGAGTATCTATGGGTTATTTATACTTTTCTGAATTGCCTATTCATGACTTCTTAGCGATTTCCTTTCAGTTTTTTGGTTTCTCTGTTCTGATTTCAAGATTTATTCATATTAAGAAATGAACCCTTATTCAGTGCATTTTAAATATTTTTTTCTAGTCTTTGTTTTATTTTCATTTTGTTTAGCCTTTGCTTAGGTTATTGTTCTGAGCAGATATTTGACCACATAAAAAATTTAACAAATACTGCCTTTTTCTTTGTGAATTCTGTTTTTGTCTTGCTTAGAATGGATTTTACCACAAAACTACAGAAATAATCTGCTATACATTTTTCTAATACTTTTTTAATTTTTTGAATTCAGATCTTTAATTCATCTGAAATTAATTTTTCGTGTATAGTATGAGATTGCATAGCTAACCTATAGAATAATCCTTTCCCAATTAATTTGAAGTGCCAATTTTATCCTACATGATTCTGCTGGAGTTTTCTCTGTAGTAACATTGAGCTATTTATTTTTATTCAGTGTTGAATTGTTTAAAATATTTTAATTTTATAGTACATTTTAATCTTTGTAGTGCAAGTCCCCCATCCCCTTGCCAGTCAGTTTTTGTAAACATCTGTTAAGTGTATGCTACATAACTTTAGAGCCAATTCATTCAATTTAAAAAAAAGTTTATTAGTGATTGGAGTTATATTGTATTCTTAACTTGGGGAGCTGCATCTTCTTTGTAGTATTGAACCTTCTTATCCAGACACAGAAGTTCATTCAGTCAAATCTTGTATGTCACTCAGTAAAATTTCATTGTTTTCTTTCTTTGGCTCCTTCACATTTCCTGTTAAATTATTTCTCTGTTTTTTGTTCTAGTTGTTTTAAACAAAAATTTTTTTTAATGTCATTTATTTTTTGAGGGAGGGAGGGAGGGAGACAGAACACAAGTGGGGGAGGGACAGAGACACACACACACACACACACACACAGATGTGAAGCAGGCTCCAGGCTGTCAGCACAGAGCCCAACGTGAGGCTCGAATTCACAGACCATGAGATCATGACCTGAGCTGAAGTCAGATGCTTAACCGACTGAGCCACCCAGGCGCCCCTTTTTTGTTTTAGTTTTGATAGTATTTTGGATGAGTTTTTTCCTACACTTCCTAATTTATTTTTTTCATTTTAAGTTTATAAAGTCATATATAAGATTACTTTATTACTGCATCTTCTCAGTTGTTTCTTCCTTATATTTGCCCTTTTTCTTTCTTTCTTGGTGAGATTTGACTTAATGTTCAAGGATCTTTTTGTGGTCTTTGTCCTGTTTTAGTCTAGTGATAACCATCCTGCTAGGGTGAATGCCCATGTGGGCAGCTGTGCCATTTGTCTTCTGTCACTCTATTTGCTAAGTGTAGATGACGTATTTCTTCCCATACACCTGAGCTACTTTGCCAGTTTGCTGACCTCTTTTGTGTCCTCATACAGCCTGTACTTCCTCATCCTCTGGGTGTGTGTGGATCGAACTGTGTACTTCTGTGTCAGCTCTTTGGAAAGAGGAGAATCTCCCTGCAAATATGGGAAGGTGCATTGAAATGACTTTTACAGTTCTTGCTCTGGTCAGAAGTCACAAAGGGATTGAACTTCATTTTGACTGTTGGCACTTAAGCAATGACCACAAACAATTCCCACTTCCTAATTTAATTGGAATATAGAAAAACCCTTGTTTTCCATATTTACCTCCTATTTATTCATCTTCTGAACTCTGATATTTTCTAAGCATTTTTTATTTGATATACTTGGGTTTTCTTGGTGAAAATTTTGTATTTTTTTCTTTTACAGTATTTATTCCTCATTTTTGTCCTTTTGTTTCTATTATATAACATTGGTTCGAGCCTCATTTTGTTTTTAACATTGCTGTATTTCACTAGTAGGTGTGATAATTGCTATTGTTTTTTGGAGGATACTCTGTCAAATTAAGTATATGAGTGTGTGTGTGTGTGTGTGTGTGTGCACGCACGCGCGTCTGGGTGTGATTTTACTTTTTTTTTTTTCAAATCAGTCTTAACTTGAATTTTTTCATACCAGTGAAAAATACCAGACCAGCAATTATCAAACTTACTGATGAAATATAGCAATAATGTTAGAAACATCGCATCTGTCTCATTTATATTTCTCCTAGTAATTTCAGTGGGATTTATCAAAGGAGAAGTTAATTTTTAATTGACTCTATTTACCATCTTGAAAACAAAAGTCTACACTTAATGTTTAGAGAACAGTTAGAGGAGAAAACAGAGAGAATAATAATATCTAACTCTATTAAGTACTTTCTGTATATCCCAAATGACTTTATTTGCTTTACTTACATTTATTCATTTAATCCTCCCCAAGCACTGGGATGTTTAGGTGCTGGTACTATTCTCTTTTTTACAATGAGAAAATTGAGAGATTTTAAGTTAACTTGTAGGAAGCAGTAAAATGAAGATTCCAACTCAAGGATGTCTGGCTTCAAAACCTGAAAATAAAATCATAGAATGTTTTTGATTTCTTTTGAGAAATATACTAGGAAGGGAAGAAGAAAAGTATCATCAGTGAATATTGATTATTCCTCTTAGAAATTTAATAAAAAGGAGAAAAATGGGCAGTAGCAGAGGTATAGCAAGAGTTAAAGGAAGATTTTTTCCAGTGAGAAGATTTGAGTATGTTAAGTAATGAGGAAGATTCAGTCATATACATGAAAATGTAATGTTAAAAGAGAATACTTGGGGAGGGAAGACACAAATGAATGCAAGAAGAGATGAATTTGAGGGTGAATGAACAGTTCACTTTAGAAATTCAAAGGAATATTTTTTCCCCTGAAATAAGAGGGGGAAAAAATTATTGGTGTCAAGGAGCTTTATGGTAGGACAAGGGAGATTGAAGTAGCCTACCTACTTCTTAGTTGAGTTACCTAACTTCTTAACTACGTAGAATGTGAAAGTCATTTGTTAAGGGAAAATGGTGGGGGGAGGCAGTGGGAGAAGATGTAATTAGGTACTGAGAGAAAATGGAATAAGCTTTGAGGGATTATCCATTTCTGATAGTCGTTATTAAATTTTTTTACTTCTTCCAGAGAATTCTTTGCTATTAAACATATATGTAAGATATATGTAATAAATAACATGTATTTAAAAGCTGCAATAGCATTTAGCACATAAATACATATATATTATACACATAATATATATATAAGAAGTTAAGATAGTATATTTAGCATGTCTAACACTAGCATGTTAAAGCTCCAGAAAGGTCTACTGGGAAAACTAGTGTCTTATTTTGTGCAGCACAGAGCTTCCCAAATATATTTTATCAGTATCTTCATGTACCAGTTGTTAATTGCAAAACACACTTTGAAATTATCCAGTTTAATCTATCTAGGATATTCTAATTTGGAGAGCAGAAAGCAGCTTTAGAGTAGGGGCATGAACTTTCATTACTGAATCAATCAGAAATTGGGCATATATTACCATATATCTACAGAATTATAGCTACCACTTATTGTGAATCATTTATGTTCTTTATGTGTTGTGTGTGTGTAGGGTATGTGTGTTTTGGTGATTTCCTCATTAACATTATTTTTGCTGCTGATGAAGAAACTGAGACAAAGAAAGATGAAATAAGTTATCCAGTTAAATGGGAAAGACACGATTGAAACATAGGTCTTTCCTATTTCAAAATCTACTCAGTATAGTATATTTCCCTTGCTTATAGTTCTCTTTTGATTGATAGCATAAAATGAGCAATTTCCTGCTAGTTATGGCCACAGACATGTATGTATTTCTTTCTTAAAATAACATAATTATATCTACAGTAGTTACAAAACTTGGTATTATTTGTAATATCTGTTCTACCAGAAATCATTTATTTCTGTTTATATTAATTAAAAGTATGATTATTCAGAGTGACATACTAAAAAATATTCAGGGGTATAGGCCATTTTTTCCATATATGTGTTCCAAAGAATATGGAGTTATTAATAGGTATTCTAAAAAGGGGAAGAGGAGCTCATTGTAAAATAAATTTTGGAAACACTACATATCATATATTCTCTTTGGAGAGCAAATTAAAGACTGTAATAAAGAAAGCTATTTCCCAGTATTTCTCTAACTTGCTTGATAATGGGATATTTTTTTTTTTTGGAAGACACTGTCTTAACATCTTAAAGAATTAGCATTCATTAGAACCAAGTTTAGTAGATGATAATATAGACTAAAAGTAAGCTTCTCTTTTGGCACATCCCAGTTAGCCTTTCATCAGCTGAGTGTGTTTCATAGCTAGAGCTACTTAAGGATTGTATTTGGATGTATTCCAAATGCATACTTACTACTAAGTATACTAACCTTTAAATGGTGCCAATTCATACTATTTCACATTGCTTTCCTGCCATTGTTGCGTTTTAAATACTCTTTGTGCCTTTTCAGTATACTTAAGTCAGATATATTTGCATGTTTTTTTATTCTTACCATTTTAGATATGGGAGAAAGGACGACTATAAATGCAAGTGCAGATGGCAACATTGGAACTATAGAGGATGGTAGCGACAGTGAAAATATCCAAGCAAATGGAATTCCAGGAACACCAATTTCTGTTGCATATACACCATCTTTACCTGATGACAGATTGTCTGTCTCTTCCAATGATACTCAGGTATAAATGGGGGGCAGCAGATGTCCTGTTAATCTTACACATTTATAGGCTACCAGCACTTTGTGGTGAATGTATCCAGTTGATAATGCTTGCTGATTACAGTTTGGGGAAATAAAGACTTAGTTTTTTCTCACTGATACAAATCAAAGCAGTTTATTCCCTAAATAAAGTGATAGCTAAATTTCCAACTCTAAGCTGTGTTTCATAGGTGTTCACATCTTCTCTTTGTACACCCCATTGAAATTACATTTAAAAAGAACATTTTTATCATATATTTGTAGGACAATTCTAGTATCACTGGATGAGGAAGAACTTTTAGAAATCTAGGGAACTTCATCTTACTTTCATTCAGGGCTAAATGAAATCTGAACTATGGTAGTGATAAGGTTCTCCTGATCCCCCCTACCCTATATTTAGTGTGTTTTTATTCTTATCCTTGTAATTTTTTTTTAATGTTTATTTACTTTTGAGAGAGAGAGAGCATGAGTTGGGAGGAGCAGAGCGAGAGGGAAACACAGAATCTGAAGCAGGCTCCAGGCTCTGACCTGTCAGCACAGAGCCCAACGCAAGGCTCGAACCCATAAACTGTGAGATCATGACCTGAGCCGAAGTCGACACTTAACCAACTGAGCCACCCAGGCGCCCCTTCTTATCCTTTTAGATAAGGAAGTCCTACCCTGTATCATTGACCCGTATATAGGGTTCAACTTTCTTGGCCTTGTTGACCTTCATCAGTTAATAAGTTTTAAACATTGCCTTGACAGTTTCTGCTGTCTTATGTCTATCTGTGCAGAATAGCTAAAATAGGACAAAAACAGAAAACCCCAAATGACAGGTAGTAAAAAGCATGGTTTAGGCAATGGATGAGGTGTCTTGTCAGGGCATGATGTGCTAGATTTTGTTAGTAATGGTATGAAATGGATAAATTTTGAAGAGTTTTTGGTAGCAAAGAGAGAATATTTTTAAATAATTTATTTTTTTAAGGTATTTATTGTTGGGGAGCTAGGGTGGTATGTCAGATTAAAGAGAAGCAATGTGGCAAATTCTTCATCAGGTTTTTTTCCCAATAGAACCCCCTGTATTACTGAACTGAATAGAATACATAGAAGGCTGAAATGATTTTACACTGTCAAATGTCTCTATTTACATGGTATATTAACTTGTTTAGGAATCTGGAAATTCTTCAGGACCTTCACCTGGTGCTAAGTTTTCCCACATTTTACAAAAGGATGCCTTTCTAGTATTCAGGTCATTGTGTAAACTGTCCATGAAACCACTGTCAGATGGACCCCCAGATCCAAAGTAAGTCATTGGCTATTCTCCTTGACACATACAGTATTTAATCTTGAAAACTTACTGTAAGATAGTCTTTGGATTTTCTTATGTTCTTTTTGTCCTGTAGAACCCTGAAAAAATGTATTTTAGGATTATTTTGCCTTTTTAAAAAATTTTTTTTAATGTGTATTTATTTTTGAGAGAGAGAGAGAGCAAGCATGAGCAAGTGGGGGAGGGGCAGAGAGAGATGGAGACAGAATCTGAAGCAGGCTCCAGGCTCCGAGCTGTCAGCACAGAGCCCGACACGGGGCTTGAACTCATAGACCGTGAGATCATGACCTGAGCCGAAGTCGGACACTCAACCGACGGAGCCACCCAGGCGCCCCAGGATTATTTTGCCTTTTAAAAAATGTACTTGAGGGGCGCCTGGGTGGCGCAGTCGGTTAAGCGTCCGACTTCAGCCAGGTCACGATCTCGCGGTCCGGGAGTTCGAGCCCCGCATCAGGCCCTGGGCTGATGGCTCAGAGCCTGGAGCCTGTTTCCGATTCTGTGTCTCCCTCTCTCTCTGCCCCTCCCCCGTTCATGCTCTGTCTCTCTCTGTCCTAAAAATAAAATAAACGTTGGAAAAAAAAAAAAATTAAAAAAAAAATGTACTTGAAAAATAGTTCCAAAATTGCTAGATAACTTATACTATTTCCCAAAGTATACCAGCAACATTAGGGGATTGTGCTTGGTACATAATAGGTGCTCAATAAATATTGAATGATTGAAAGAATTCTTATTTCAATATTATAAATAACTTTGGAGTTAAAATAGCCCTGTTATATGTAGCCTCATGCTAGGTTTCTGAAAGCTACCAGTTGAAAGTTAATAAAACTAAGAGAAATAAATTTTAAAATTATTATGAAAGGTATTATGTATTCATTAAGGTCTGAAAAATGCCATGATACCTTTCTCTGTGGGGAGCAGGGAATACTTCGAGATAGGAGTCACTTGTCTGGTTCCTGTCGAATGTGTAAGTTTAAGCCATAGGAAAGTGCCATTTGTAAGTCATAAGTTGTCAAATATCTTTCATTTCCTGTGAGTCAAATGTAACTGATACTTGCTTAACACTGGGTTTGGACACTCTTAATGTTGCAGCATGATGTAATATAGCATGACAATTTTAGGAGAACTTTCTGGAGAAAGAAATCTTAAAGAAGGCCTCAGTGACTTTGAGAAAAGAATATTGAAATAGTGGAGAAATGTAAGCAATGCTACTTCATTTTTTAAAACTGTAGAGCATTTCAGTTTCTAAATGTCAGCTGAGAAGAAAGACTAGAAGCAGTTACATTTGTTACATTTTCTATAGTTTTATTTTGTCACATTGTACTGATTCAGTGAGAAACATCTTTTAAGCCCCACAGCCAAAAGTTCTAAAATCATTTTAGGCTCAAATCCTGGGAGTCAGAGATATAACTTACTGATTTTTCTTTATTTTGAAAATGTAAACTCTACAGAAAAAGGATTAAAGTTGTTCAGATTGCAATGTAAATTTGATTATACCCTATGTATGTTACAAATATGTATTCAAAATTTTTTCAATTTTTTATTCTCACTATGAAAAGAAAAATAACCATCTCATTCTGAACTGTTAAAGACTTTAAGTAGGTAGTAACTTAAGAATTTGGTGTTATTGCTGAAGGCCATCTTTGCCTTGATTTGAAAATGTTATTAATCTTAAAAGTCTCAGATGTTTAGTTTTCCAAGTCAGATGTAAAAAAGTGTGATTTGAAAAACTATAAACAGAAAAGGGAGAATTCTTTAAAGTGCCCAAAATGAAAAGAACACAAAAGAAAATAGATGAATTTTGAGGAGTACTATGGGGGAAGGGCATTCATTTAGCTTTATAAAAAGAATATAGTTTTGGAGATCTGAAATCTTTAATATTACAAAGGATTCTTATAAGGAATAATGTAAATTATCCTTCTACTCTGTGGGTTTAAACCAAATATTAGGAAATTTTGAACATAGAAAAGACCTTGATCATCAGGGACATTAAACATTGGAATTGAATACTGAAGAAATTAAATTTTCTAAACTCTTCTTTTCTAAAGAATATATGGTTTTCTCTCTTGAATGATTTTTTTCTAAAATTAATGGCTTTTTGTAGTTATGTTTTTGTTTTGTTTTGTTTTTTTGTCTTTGCTTCTCTTGATACTTTGTGATGTTGCTAAGATGATGATCCAGGAAATGTTTGTTAAGCTTGATTCATAGTTTGAAACTACCCCATTAAAATCTGCAGACCTGAAATTTCTAGCATCTTTTGCCTATAAAAGTGTCCTTTATTGTGTCATAAGACAATCATTTGATCATTTCTTCATTAATTAATGCCTTATAGATAGTAAGTAGTTAATAAATGTTTAGATGAGTGCATGAATAAATCCATGAGTTACATTGAGCACGTGCTAGGTACAAGGCATTTTGTTAGAGCTGGGGATACAAAAATAACTTACAACAAAAACTCATGTGTTAGAGAATAGTAGGCTGCAGGTTTTAATAACTATTGGAATTGAGCAAAAAAGATGGTAAATTAGCTAGACTGGGAAGTAGCCATAACATAAAAGCCTTGGAAGGCTTCAACTTGAAGGGGAGATACTTCACCCATTTCATGTTTTCCTATAGCTATTTAAAATCTTCTCACTGTTTCTAACTTGATTTATTTAAGGGGTGTGTGTGTGTGTGTGTGTGTGTGTGTGTGTGTGTGTGTGTGTTATACTATATTTGCTGCACATATATAGATTCAGAGGCATAGCCATCTTGGAAAGTTGATATGTAATAATGAGCCATGATATTATTGGTTCCAGTTTTATTTCAAAGATGGTAATATTTGTGTGATTCCCACTTACATGAAATTAAATATTCCTTGTTAGAGTTTCTTAGGTTCTTGAATTACTTGGCACTTAAAAACTATAAAATTTTTAAAGTAGAAATCAGGAACAATTAAGTTTACTGTCTGTGGTGTGAATGCGACTGATAATAGCATTTGGTATAAAAAGAATTAGCTGCTAGAACGTTTAAGTGTGTTCTGCATTTGAAAAGTTGCCTGGGATCCAATCTTCCTGGTCTGTTGGACTTAAGATGCCTGCTTTAATGGGAGAAAAATTATATTTGTGAAATCTGATAATTATAATGCTAGATACTGAGTAGAATATGGCATGGTGTATTGATCAGAGAAAAAAGTGAAAATTTAAGCTGAAAGGGTAGTTTTTTGCTTTTCATTATTTAAAATATTTGGAATAAATGGGTAAACTTTAAGAGATAAATGTTCTGAAAGCCTCTTTGTATTTCAAAAAAGAAAACAACTTAAGTGGTTATTGAAAAAGTAACCTTGAAGTAGTCCTGTAACTTGGTCATATAACCAAAACTTTTTTAGGATTTTTGAGTAGCATGCCTAGGAAAAAAGCACATTATATACGAAACTATTATATACTATGGAACTATTATATACTAAATATGGTACTTAATCTGAGTAGAGTTCGTGGTATTTTCTAAAAAGTGAAATACACTTGTGAAAGAAAGGAAGAAGGAATAAATCTTTATTTTTCTTGTCTCGTGGAACAGTGTGTTGATTTTAAATATGTGTGGATGATTGTTTTCCATTTAAAAAGTTTATGAAATTATGTGCTTCTTGAGAACATAAGTGGAACTAACCCATTACTAATGGCGAAGTATTTGTATTATTCATATACTGTACTTTGTTTACATTGTAGACTTTTCTGTTCCTCTCTATTTAAAATTTGGTGAAATTATGTGGTACCAGGAAATATCTTTGGAACAGCTTTTAATACCATGACACTAAATTTGTCCATATACTTTGCCCTCTCTTTTACATTTTAGGTCTCATGAGTTGCGATCCAAGATTCTTTCATTGCAGTTACTTCTATCCATTCTGCAGAATGCAGGACCTGTTTTCAGGACAAATGAAATGTTTATTAATGCTATTAAGCAGTATCTCTGTGTCGCACTCTCAAAAAATGGAGTCTCATCTGTTCCAGAGGTTTTTGAGCTTTCTCTTTCCATATTTCTTACTTTGTTGTCAAACTTCAAGACGCATCTGAAGATGCAAATTGAGGTATGTTCTGCATTTAGGCATTGTTGGGTATTTCATTTGTTTAATGTTAAATCAGATTATTAATACCCTGGAAGGTTTTTCAGAATGTAAAATAATATTAGTGTATTGTTGTGAACAGTTAACCCTTAAACAGTAGTGCTTTGAACTAAGTAGGCCCAGTTACATGTGAATTTTTTTCACTAAGTGCAGGTACAGTAGTGTAAATGTATTTTCTCTTCCTTATGATTCCCTCCTTCCCTCATTCTTCCTTCCCTATCTTTCCTTTCTTTCTGTCTTTTCTGTCTTGAGAGAGAGAGAGAGGGAGTGAGCGAGCGAGCCAGGGATGTTCAGAGAGAATCCCAAGCAGGCTCCATATTGACACTGCATAGCCGAGTGCAGGAGTTAAACTCATGAACTGCAAGATCGTGACCTGAGCCAAGATCAAGAGTCAGATGCCTACTCCACTGAGCCACCCAGGCACCCCCCCTTATTATTTTCTTTTTTCTTTGTTTTAAGTTTATGTATTTATTGAGAGGGAGAGAATGAGTGAGGGAAGGACAGAGAAAGGGGAACAGAGGATCCAAAGCAGGCTCTGTGCCAGTAGCCAAGGTTGGAAGCTTAACCGACTGAGCCAACCAGGCGCCCCACCTCTTTACGATTTTCTTAGTAACATTTTCTTTTCACTAGTTTAGTTGATTATAAGAATACAGTATATAATACATATATAATACAAAATATGTGTTGAATGTTTATGTTGTTGTTAGGCTTCTAGTCAACAGTAGGGTATTAGTAGTAAAGTTTTTGGGAGTTAAAGTTCTATGTGGATTTCAAGTATGTGGTGATCAGTGCCCTTGACCCTCACATTGTTCAAGAGTCAGCTATGCTGCTTTTTTTTCCATTTACCCATTTAACTAACATGTACTTATGAAATACTAAGCACTGGGTAAACACTGAGAATACAAAATCAAATTAAGACACAGCTCCTGCCTTCAAGGAATTTATACTGGTTGAGTGATTCTAGTTGTCTTGAGTTAATTTGGCCCTCACAATAATTTTGCCATTGTGTATATGGCATGTAATAATAAATTTGGTTATCTTAAAAGAAAGTTGCAAAATATACTTTATATGTATGGTTTTACACCATCGAAGTCTTGGGTACTTTAAAGAGGCTATTATTAGTAAGGATTATATTTTTAAGGTTATATTTTAGGAATTTGACATTTTAAATTTTTGCTTTGTATTATTTTTCTAATGTGTATATTATATTTCTGAAGTTTTATCCCCGGGTCTTTTTAAATTTTTTTTTTTTTCAACGTTTTTATTATTTATTTTTGGGACAGAGAGAGACAGAGCATGAACGGGGGAGGGGCAGAGAGAGAGGGAGACACAGAATGGGAAACAGGCTCCAGGCTCTGAGCCATCAGCCCAGAGCCTGACGCGGGGCTCGAACTCACGGACCGCGAGATCGTGACCTGGCTGAAGTCGGACGCTTAACCGACTGCGCCACCCAGGCGCTCCTTATCCCCGGGTCTTAATGGTCATGTGGTGCTAAAATATTTCCAGAGACTTGGTAGAACTAATAAATTAGGGAGTTTTCCAGCCATGGCTGCACATACAATGCAGGTGTATCAGTTCGTGATCTTTTGTTTTTACTTTCAAATAATTGAATGTTTAAAAATGGTATTTATGTTTTACTGTACTTAATTGGTGCTTGTTTCCATTTACCAGTTGTTATTATATTGTCTCGGTTGGGACATTATACATTTTAGAAACCCTCGCTTTTATGCTAGTTAGCTTTCAACTATGTGTTTGATAGGCAGGTTGCATTTTAATTGCTACAATTTTTTAAAACTGAAGTATAGTTGGCACACAATGTTACATTTGTTTCAGGTGTACGACATAGTGATCTGACAACTCCGTACATTATGCTCTGCTCACCACAAGTGTAGCTGGCATCTGTCACCATACAATGCTATTAAAATGCCACTGACTATACTTTTCATTATCATGATTTATCTATTCCATAACTAGAAGCCTGTATCCCCCAATACCTTTTACTTATTTATAATTCTTTTTTTTTTTTAATTTTTTTTTTCCAACGTTTATTTATTTTTGGGACAGAGAGAGACAGAGCATGAACGGGGGAGGGGCAGAGAGAGAGGGAGACACAGAATCGGAAACAGGCTCCAGGCTCTGAGCCATCAGCCCAGAGCCCGACGCGGGGCTCAAACTCCCGGACCGCGAGATCGTGACCTGGCTGAAGTCGGACGCTTAACCGACTGCGCCACCCAGGCGCCCCTACTTATTTATAATTCTTATAAATTTTATATTTAATCCTAACTAAAGATTGATAATTCATTAGCTCACAGAACAGATACATTATCATTTTCCCAGAGATTTGAGATGGTTAAAACAATCACACTTTATTACTAATCTACAGTATCTATTAAAATTCACATAGGATATTATGGGAATAAGACCGAATAAAGCCTTGATATTTTAAGTGAAAAGTTTTTATATTGGGGCCAAATTTTGGACAGGAAATAATTTCTGGTACATATATATTGCCAAATTTTAGTTTGTCTTATATCTGTTAAAATAACGGAAGGCATTTAACTAGGTAGGAGTAGTTGCTATTTTTTGATAGTTTTTTCCCCATTATCTTCAGGAACTACAAATGAAGGAGATTAAAAAAAACCCAACTTTTGGAACTTTTGCTTCCATACTAACTCAAAAGTCTTTCATTTGATGATGAAGCATTTGGATTGCCATTAGATTATTTTGAAAGACTGTATTCATTTACTTAGAGATTTTTGAATGCAACTTTTTAAAGTACTGTTTAGTAGACTGTGAAATATAAATTCATAGGGAACCAGGTATCACAAAAGTCATTTAAATTGGGATTACTATTTTTGTAGATTAAATGCAAATTAAATGCAGATTTATTCAATATATAAAATTTTTGGAAGCGCAAATTTAAAAGGAAATACTACTAGTAAAAATTTCCTTTCTCCTCAGATGGTAGATTCTCATTACAAAATTGTTTTAATACTGTTCTGTATATTTAAAGAGATTACATGTATTTTACTCTCCATTGTCCCTTATGGGGAGATTGAGGATCAGACAAGATAAATGTAAATCTGTTTTTGAAAATACTAAGCATGTTCAAATGCTTGATAAGCTGTATTCTAGTTGGAGAAAACAAAGCCAACATATGAAAACCTAAATTTGCAAAGCAGTGTTGAAATTGTTATTACATGAATATTCATTTTATGAGAATATACACTTCAGAGTTTCTGTAAAGTGATTTTTCTATGGACATTAACTTACATGTTTATATCAGAAAATAGTTTATGCACAACTTTTCAAGAAAATATCTATTTGCAGACAAAGTGTTTATGATAGTATTGTTATTCTACATACGTTACGTTATAGGTGCTCTTTAAATCTTTTTTTTTTTTAATTTGGTTTTTCTAGAGTCCCTGTTGATAAGCATGGTGTCTTAAATACAATTGAAGGCTGTTGCTTATTAGTACAGTTTGATAATCCATAGAGAGTAGCTAAAGTTTTCATTTTCCTCTTTCTCCCAATCTAGTGGTTTTATTTATTCCATAAATTGGAGAGTTCCAAACTTTTTTTTATGTATTTGTTTGTTGAATATAATTGACAATATTAGTATCAGGTGTACAACATAGTGATTCAGCATATGTGTACCTTGCAGGATGGTCACTGTAATAAATCTAGTTACCATCTATTACCTTACAAAGTTAATACAAAATTATAACTATATTCCCCATACTTGGTATTACATCCCCAAGACTTATTTTATAACTGAAAATTTATACCTCTTAATGCCCTGGACCTGTTTTGCACCTCCACATCTTCATCCCTCTGTCAGACACCAGTCTGTTTTCTTTATCTAGGAGTCAGGGGCTTTGTTTCCTTTTGTTTGTTTTTTTGTTTTTTTCGACTCCACATGTAAGTGAAATCATGCAGTATTTGTCTTTTTCTGTCTTATTTCATTTAGCATAATACCCACAAGATTCATCCATGTTGTTGCAGATAACAAGATTTGTTTTATATGAGTAGTGTTCCATTGTACATAAATATCCTATCTTCCTTATCCATTCATCTACCAGTAGACTTGGAGATTGTTCCTGTATCTTGTCTATTGTAAATAACGCTGCAGTAAACATAGGGATCATCTATCTTTTCAAAGTAGTGTTTTCATTTCTTTGTAGAGATATCCATTAGTGGAATTGATGGATTATATTGTAGCTCTACTTTTAATCTTTTGAAGAACCTCCATACTGTTTTCAATAGTAGCTGTGCTACATTGTAAACTGTACAAGAGTTCCCTTTTCTCTACATCCTTGCCAACACTTGTTATTTCTTATCTTTTGGATAATAGATGTTCTGATAGGTTTAAGGTGGTTTCTTGTTGTGGTTTTGATTTGCATTTCCCAGGTATATACATACATTTATATATTTATATGAATATGTATGTGTATGTATGTATTTATATATATTTAATGTTTGCTTATTTTTGAGAGAGGAAGAGAGACAAAGCATGAGTGGGAAAGGGGCAGAGAGAGAGGGAGACACAGAATCCGAAGTAGGCTTCAGGCTCTGAGTTGTCAACACAGAGCCTGATCCGCGGCTCGAACTCACTAACTGTGAGATCATGACCTGAGCTGAAGTCGGACGCTTAACCTACTGAACCACCCAGGCACCCCTGCATTTCCCTGATTGAGCATCTTTTCAATGTGCCTGTTGGCCATCTGTATGTCTCCTTTGGAAAAATGTCTGTTTTTATCCTCTGCCCAGTTTTTAATTGGTTGGGTTTTTGTTTTGTTTTGTTTTTTTGCTATTGAGTTGTGTAAGCTCTTTATATATGTTAGATATTAACCCCTTATTAAATATATGGTTTGCAAATGTCTTCTTCCATTCAGTAATAGTGGTTTCTTCACTGTGCAGAAGCTGTTTAGTTTGATATAGTCCCATTTGTTTAATTTGTTTAATTTGTTTAATGCTTTTGTTTCCCTTGCCTTTAGAATCAGATCCAAAAAGACATCACCAAGATTGATGTCAAGAAGCTTACCACCTATGTTTTCTTCTAGGAGTTTTATGGTTAAAGGTCTTACCTTCAAGTCTTTAATCATTTTAAGTTAATTTTGCATATGATGTAAGATAGTGGTTCAGTTTCATCATTTCACATACAGCTAGCTGTCCAGTTTGCCCAACACCAGTGATTGAAGGGACTGATTACTGATTCAGTCTCCTTTCTAGTAATTGGTCTATTCAGATTTTCTATTTCATCCTGATTCAGTCTTGGAAGATTGTGTGTTTCTAGGAATTTATCCATTTCTTCTAGTTGTCCCATTTGCTGGTGTATAATTGTTCATAATAGTCTTCTGTGATCTTTTGTATATCGGTGAAATCAGTTGTAACCTACTGTTTCATTTCTGATTTTATTTGAGCCCTGTCTCTTTTTTCTTGGTCAGTCTACCTGAAGGTTTGTCAATTTGTTTATCTTTTCAAAGAATCAGCTAATTGTTTATTGACCTTTTCTATTGTCTTTTTAGTCCATATTTATTATTTTTTACTCTGATCTTTACTATTTCCTTCCTTCTACTGAGTTTAGGTTCCATGTATTCTTTTTCTAATTCCCTAAGGTGTAAAGTTAAGCTGTTTAATTGAGATTTCTCTGGTTTCTTGAAGTAGGCTTTAGGCTTGTATTGCTGTGATTCCCCTCATAGAACCACTTTTGCTGCATCATACAGAATTTGGGATGTTGTATTTTTCTTTTTTCTTTCGGTGGTTATGACCCAGTTGATCAGTAATGTGTTGTTTAATCTCCACATATTTGTAGTTTTTCCATTTTTCTTCTTGTAATTTCTAATTTTAAACATTTGTGGTTGAAAAAGATGTTTGCTATGATTTCACTCTTCTTGAATTTTTGAGACTTGTTTTGTGGTTTGACATGTGATCTGTCCTGGAGAGTGTTCCACGTGCATTTAAGAAGAATGTGTATTCTGTTTTTGGATTCTGTATACAGTTAACCCTTGAATGAAACAGGGCTAGTGACACTGACCTCCTGCATAGCAAAAAATCCACGTTAAATTTCTGACTACCCCCAAAATTACCTACTAATAGCCTACTGTTGACTGGAAGCTTTACCGATAACATAAATAGTCAATTAACATACATTTTGTATGTTCTATGTAAGTATTTATTGGCTGCCTACTTTATGCCTTGCAGTGTGGACACAGTACTCAGCAAGAAAGACCCAGTCCCTCCTTCTTAAAAAGTTATGGTCTTACAGGAAATGGTGATGACATTAAGGAAGTAATAGAAATGTATTGGATTTTGTGAAAGAAAAGCACATTTCTTTTGGGCTACCTCAGTTGGTACCTCACCCAATTAGGAGGGAGAAGATGTTAGTCACCTCACGTTATCAGTATGAATTTCTGGAGCACATAACCTTCACAAAGGTTAATATGTGACTTCTGGTGTTTTGTTTTTATTTTGTTTTGTTATCCCCTCTTAAATCAGTCATTTTTCCAAAATAAATTTGAATCTAAAAATTCTTTCTTAGCTCTTAAATCATAATTTGTTTAATTAGGTTGATTAACTCATTGTATTTGACATTATTTGGGGTAAAAAATACTGAAAAATAATTTGTTTACAGACAGTAGAGGTTTCCACCATGAGAGTAATTATAATTTAAGTTTACTTATTTTGAGAGAGAGAGTGCGGATGTGTGCGTAAGTGGGGGAGAGGCAGAGAGAGAATCCCAAGCAGGCTTTACACTGTCTGTGTGGAGCCTGAGGAAGAGTTGGAACTCACAAACTGTTAGATCGTAACCAGAGCTGAAATCAAGAGTTGGAGGCTTAACAGGTGACTGGGCCACCCAGGCGCCCCAGAAGAGTAATTATAAAAAATACCATAGTGTAAGAGATTATTTTTATTGTGTGGATTAGAACATTAGGTACATTTAAATCTAGGAAAATTAAACACCTGGTACTATGATGTCTGTAAAACATAACTGATGAACAGAATATAATTTATACTCTTTGGGGGATTAAACAGTGAAGTATGAATTACATTGGTTTTATAAATGTGTTCATGAAATTATCATGCGGAGGAGGTCCAGATCTTTGCAGATTTCTTTTGTAGTGGCTGTGTGATAGCAAACAAAATATTGTGAAGTGCAGTGCTCCTACTACAAGGACTACCCAAAAGGAATTGAACTCCAGAGGAGCCTGGGTCATAATCTCTGCTCTATAGCTTTGGGATATTTAGAAAGTGATCATATATATGAATTATAAACACTATTTTTTTTTTTTTAATTTTTTTTTTTCAACGTTTTTATTTATTTTTGGGACAGAGAGAGACAGAGCATGAACGGGGGAGGGGCAGAGAGAGAGGGAGACACAGAATCGGAAACAGGCTCCAGGCTCCGAGCCATCAGCCCAGAGCCCGACGCGGGGCTCGAACTCACGGACCGCGAGATCGTGACCTGGCTGAAGTCGGACGCTTAACCGACTGCGCCACCCAGGCGCCCCTATAAACACTATTTTAAACAGAAGTTTTTCCCTAATCACAGGTGTTCTTTAAAGAAATTTTCCTATACATTTTGGAAACTTCTACCAGCTCATTTGACCACAAATGGATGGTTATTCAGACATTGACAAGGATCTGTGCAGGTATTTGAAATTATCCTTCTTTATTATCTTTTCTTATTAAGAGATATTTACTGTACTCCTATACTATGCTTCTTGTTAAACGTAATATATTATATTGTTACAGATGCTCAGAGTGTAGTGGATATTTATGTAAACTATGACTGCGACTTAAATGCAGCAAATATATTTGAAAGACTAGTAAATGATCTATCAAAAATTGCTCAAGGACGGGGCAGTCAAGAACTTGGTATGAGTAATGTTCAGGTAAGAACTTTAAAAGCACTTTCAAATTTAAACTTGGCCAAGGAAGAGCTATGTGTTTTCCTTTAAAGAGCTTTTTGTTTTATTCTTTTTATGAATTATTTCGTAGGAACTGAGCCTGAGGAAAAAAGGCTTAGAATGCTTAGTGTCGATTTTGAAGTGTATGGTTGAATGGAGTAAGGATCAGTATGTGAATCCCAACTCTCAGACAACTCTTGGTAAGGTGGCATTTTGAGTTATAATTCTTTGTCATTTCAAGTAAATGATACTTGCGAGAGGATAATTCCAGTTGCCATTAGACCAGTTTCGTGACCTCTTTGCTCATTTAGCTGATAAAGAAGCATTCTGTATGAGTTCAATATGAGCTTTAGAATTATGTATTTCCAACTTAGTTGTCCAAACTTTTTTCTTTCTAAATCTTCCTTGAAATACTTTAAATACCACATTAAAGTGAAGAATATTTATGCAACTTAAGTAAAAGATAATTATAGAAGAAACCTATACAAGCCAAGATGTTTTAAGATTGATTTGTTCACCTATGTTTGGCATTTACCCTTACTAGGAGAAAAACTCATGCTGCAGGTCTACCCTAGTATTATATCAGTCAGCAGTCCTTTGAGGGAAAACTATTCCTTCTGTGGCATGAGCTGAGAGCAGAAACGCAGTGGATACTTAGCACTGCAACTACAAAAAGAACTTTTAATGGTGCAAATTACACAAATACTAATTGCAGTGTGTTTTAGTATCAAAGTATATTGTCTGGGATGGCACCTAATAGTTTGTTTGTATTGCATAATTATCTAAGAAACATTAAAATATCTTGCCTTACTTGACATTTTTTTTTTTAACCTTTTACATTTTTTTTCTTTGAAAGAATGATTTACTGTATCAGTCTTTCTACTTACAGGTCAGGAAAAACCCTTAGAACAAGAGACGAATGAAATCAAACACCCTGAGACAATAAACAGATATGGAAGTTTAAATTCCCTGGAGTCAACATCATCATCAGGAATAGGCAGCTACAGTACACAGATGTCTGGCACTGATAATCCAGAACAGTTTGAAGTCCTAAAGCAACAAAAAGAAATAATAGAACAAGGAATAGATTTGTGAGTGTCCAATTTTAAGGAGAAATGTTATTGAATATCCTTCTGCTAGTACAGTATCACCCTTTCCCTGGGTTTGTCTACATCTTCAGATTATTTCTGTTTCCTTCTCATTATCACCTTTCATTGACTAAAACTGGGCATAGTTCTCCTACATCCAAGACTTTTGGTGGCTCCTTATTCAGCTCTCCTTGTTTATTGTCTTCTAGCCCAACAGACCCTTATAGTGCACATTAAATTAATTTGCAGTGTATATTATATGCTGTTGATTAATATATCATCTGTGTAGTTTTGTATTGTTCAATTAGTAGCTCAATTATAAAATCCCCCATTATATTTCCTAAGCAGATGACAGGTCAAAAAATTTATAGTATGACACTTCTAATAACTAGCTAGCATTCTCCTTTATAGGTTTTATATTTTCTCCAGTTGAGTTACAAATTTGCTTTCTTTTTTTAAATTTATTTCTTTTGAGAGAGAGAGAATGAGTGGGGGAGAGACAGAGAGAGAGAATCTCAAGCAGACTTCGTGCTGTCAGCATGGAGCCTGACATAGGGCTCAGTCCCATGAACAGCAAGATCACAATCTGAGCCGAAATCAAGAGTTGGACCCTAAACCGATTGAGCCACCCCGGCACCCCTACAAATGTGCTACTCTTGTTATTGATCCCTTGTTCAATGTCATTTTTATATGTTGATTAGGTGATAACTTCCATTTCCAACCTGGCTACTCTACCAGACCCAGATCTTGGGAAGTCTGTTTTCCCACTAAGCTTTATGGCATAAGCCTGCTCCTGGATTGTTTCCTGTCTAAGTAGTACCATGCTGCTTTTATCCCTGTAATTGCCCATCTCTTTCAAAGAGAAGCTGTGAGGAAATGAAGTTGCTGGCATTTCTCCATGAATCTAGCTACTTATAAACTGTTAAAAATTCCCGTGTACATTTACATGGTTTGCTCCTTCTACTGGAAAGCATTTCTTCCTAACTCTTGAGCAGTGCCTTTTGGTGAATGTTCAAGTTTCCATTTTTTTAATCATTAATATAAAAAGGTTGACAAAATGCATGCACATGTTTTGGTGATAAAATTATAAAAATCTTGCAAAATTGCCTCAGGAAATAGCCACTAATACTTCACTCATTCTAGTTTTTCAGTCAATATTTATCAAAGTCCCATCTGTTCCGGACATTATGCAAGGTCCTAGGGAAACTTGATGAATGAAACAGACATGGCTTCTGAGGGACTCAAGGTCTAATATGTATAATTAGACATTCATATTGAAATTCTGGTTACTCTGCAAACATATATTTGGTGTTTGGGACTGTGTGCCAAGAACCATGAAGGCACTGGGTCTTGTATTTAAGATTACAGTGTATATAATATGAGCAAAATAGTTTTTTTTTTTTTGAATAGTACTCTGTCCAGTCTATAATAGTAGACAAAGTGCTGCCAAGGTATGGTAGCTCTGTTTGTGGTACCTGGGAGTGAGAGGGAGTCGTGACAGGACTTCAGAGTGGTCTCCTTAGTCTCTACTGCTTTCAGCCCCTGGACTTGATCTCTGCTTCATACTTTTATGAGAATGCTTTCATGTCACTGTGCTCCCATTACACTCTTCCATGACTGTTTGTGGCACCACTCTGTCCTGTTCCTCCTACCATTCTGACCCTTGTCATCTCAGTCTTGTTACGGCCTGTTTATCTCCTGAATACAGCTTAGCATTTCCAGAGTTCTGTCCCTCAGCTCTTTTCTTACTTTGTATTTTCTCCTAGGTGATCATGCTCTTTTTCATGACTCACTTTGTATGTGCTAGCGTGTCACCGCTCCCAGCTGTTACTTTTAACATAAATACCTCTACGGAAGTCCAGAATCATGTCTGTAATTACCTGTCGGACAACTCTGTTGGATACTGCTTAGCTTCTCACACTCAGTATTGTCCATCACCGAATTTATCAGTCTCCGTTCTCTCCATAATCAATTCCCTAATACATCTACCAAAAATATATTGGTAGATTGGATTGTCTAAAAGACAAACAGAAAACTACTGTTTCTGTATTTCTTATTTAGACTAGTAACCCCAGCAGGCTACTAAATTTGTAAGCTAGAATTCTGGGAGTTACTTAGATTTTCCCCTTGGATCTAATCTGTCATTAAATTCTGTTGATTCTACTTCCTAAGTATCTGTGCTATTTATCTCTTCTCTCCATCTCCCACAATTGTTCTCTCAAGTCAAACCATCACCATTTCTTGCCTTGACTAGTGCAGTCTTTTAATTGGCCTACCTTTCTTTGGTCTTATTTATTCTCTAGTCTTTTCTCACACTTAGCTAGAGTGATCTCTCTTGAATAAAAGTAAGCTTCTATTTCTCCCCACTTCTGCTTTTAGAGAATAAAGTCACAGTTTCTTATAATTGGATATAATACCCTTCATGATATGGATCTGCTGGACTCTAAGCTTCATCACCCGCCACTTCTTTATCTCATTTCAGCCTTCCAACAATGCAGAGCTGTTTATTCTAATGTCATGCTGTTTTATGCTTCCATGTATTAGTATGACTCCTTCCTCTCTAGGATGTTTTTTTCTTACTCTTTATGAACTGTGTAATCATTCTTCAAACCCCTGTTTCACAGTCCCCTCCCTGGGAAATATATCACAACCATCTCTGTTAGTTATTTCTCTTCTGTGCTGTCTTACCTTGTGAATACATTAGTTGTTGCACTTTTACAATTTTTAAAAATCATGTTTATTTTATTAGGGAGAGAGCTTCTAGAGGGCAGAGATTGTGCTTATCTCAGTGAAAAATGTTTGATTTTAATTTATGGTATGAATTAGGACTTGACAGGAGTCATTAGAACAGGTGAGGACATTTCAGACAAAGAGAATGGCATGTGCAGCAGCACGGAGGAAAGGGACATTTGAGGATTACTGTTCACGATAGCAGAGGCAGGGGTGGGGTAGCAGTCACAGAAAATGAAATGAGAGCATTGAGCTGGATCCAAATTACAGAAGGCCTTATTTTCCATGGAAACAAGTTTTTGTCTTGTTCTTGGCTTTAGCTTACTATGTATGAAGGGTTTTAGTCATAGTAGCTGCAGCATCAGATTTCTGTTTTGGAACGATGTCTTTGCCAGTAGCCTGAAAGATGGGTTAGAATGAGAGCAGAACCAAAGCTAGCAAGACCATTTAAGAACTATTGTAGTACCCTGGTGACAGGCGATGAGGGACCAAAGTAATTAGTGGTACAATAAAAGTAGAGAGTAAATGATGTGGAAACAAGGAGGTGACATTTGAACTGGATCTCTAAGCATGAACGAGAGTTCCACAGAAAATGAATGGAACAGGTAAAGGTCATGTAGAGGAAATAGACTGCAGAAATGCATTATGCTTAGGAATTGAGAATAGGGTATTTGGGAGTAGATGGGTGAGAGGGGTTGAGATGAACTGGAGCTATGTTGAGAAAGATCTTGTGTATCAGTCTAGTCGGTTTGGACTTGCCTTTGAAAACATTGGTTATGTAGGAATTTTTTCATAAAGGAAATCATGATGTCAGATCATGGTTAAAACAGTCACCAAAATTAAGTTCTTTACTTTAAAAGCAGGAAACTTAGAATGAATCACTGGGTGTATGTGGAATGAACCAAGATTACTTGAGCATCAAGGTGAATATATATATTAAAAACATGAGACCTTTAGTATTTATATCCTTACTTAAATTGACATTATCTCATATAGTCTGTGAACTGGTCCATATCTTTGATAAATATGGCCTTTTGCTTGAGAATCTTAAAAGAAAAATAAAACTTTGCATAATGTAATAATTTCTGTATATTTATGTATTGATTATGTTGAATAAACTATTTTCTAGTGGTATTAGAAAATTAATTTACTGGTAGTTTAAGATCTTTTCAGGGAAATGCAAAAGATTTTCTATTTCTAATGTTTCTATTAACTTTAACATCATCTAGATTTAATAAGAAACCAAAGAGAGGAATACAGTACCTTCAAGAACAAGGGATGCTTGGCACTACATCTGAAGATATAGCCCAATTCTTACATCAAGAGGAAAGATTAGACTCAGTAAGAATACCATTTTTTTATTCTAACCTTTTATGTAAAATTCCTTAATTACATAATGCTCCATACTGTTTTCCCTTTAAAATGCCCTATGTATATAATAAAACTTAAAAAATAACCTAGGTATTCTTATTTTTGCTTTTTAATTTTCTAAACTCAAAAGAATATCATTTTTTTAATAAACACATTTAGTGTGTTTAACTTTTTAGCTTCATGTTTGAAATAGTTAACCCTGTAGACAAAACCTGTGAATCTTACAGATTTTTCTACTTTTTAAATGTCTCTGTGGTAAATGTAGCATTTCATTAGGATATCCTTTTTTTAATCTTTTGTTCTTTAGACTCAAGTGGGTGAGTTCCTGGGAGATAATGATAAATTTAACAAAGAAGTCATGTATGCATATGTGGACCAACACGACTTTTCAGGAAAGGACTTTGTTTCAGCTCTTCGTATGTTTCTGGAAGGATTCCGTCTTCCAGGGGAAGCTCAGAAAATTGATCGATTGATGGAAAAATTTGCTGCGAGATACCTAGAATGCAACCAAGGGTAAGCAAGATTCAAATTCAGGCACTTATGGGTTGCCAGCTATCACTATGCTAGGGAATATCAGGAGATTCATTGTCTCCTGCTCTCAGAGAATTTAGATTGTCTCCAATTTAGAAGTGATGGATGTTCGCGAAAAAAATTGTAGTATGAGCTAAAACATAAATCCTGAAAGAGAAAAGTAAGGGGGTTTGATTTATTTAAATGCAAGTGTAAAACAATAAAAGTTTATAACATGATGCATTTATTTTTTCAGACAAACCCTTTTTGCTAGTGCAGATACTGCTTATGTTTTGGCTTACTCAATTATCATGCTGACCACAGATCTTCACAGTCCACAGGTATGTGCTCCATGTAACAGATAGTACACATTAACTACATTCTTCTGAAATTCAGTAAGTAATAGTTGAAATTTTAATCTTAATATTTAGTGAAACTCGTCAACAAATGGGAGTATTAAATGCGGTGTAGTGTACAATTTACAAATGCAGTTTCTGGTAATAATTCTAATTAGACTTTTAGACATTTGCAAAATAAGTCTATATTTGTCCCATGATTGACAGCTATATAAAGCTTAAGATAAATTTTATCGTAAGAATATGCATATGTTCTGCCTATACTTATTACAACATGGAAAAACCCTGTATATAGGCATTTTTTCTTTTAAACATTTCAAACTTAACAGAGTGATTAGTATGGGAATCCTGCATGTGCCTATCAACCAGCTTCCAGTTACCGACTTATGGCCAGTCTTACTCAACTTTTATCCTTCCTCTCTCTCCCAGATCATTTGGAAGTAAATCCCAGGTATCATTTCATCTGTATTTATTTCAGTGTATATCTCTGAAAGACACACAGTCTATTTAAAAATAACCACAATACCATTACATCTAAAAATTAACAATAATTTTAAAGTATTAGATATCCAGGCAGTGTTCAGCCTTCCATTTGTTTCTTAAAATTTGTAGTTCCTTCTTAAATATTAAGGTACTGTCACTTGATTTCTGATATCCATTAGCAAAAAAAAAATTTATTTTTATAAGTTTTAGGTATTTCAGGCTTAGTTTCAAAAACATGCTTTGAGTATCTTTGGGGAAAATTATCTTCATAAATTTATCTATTTGCAAGAATTTGTTTGTACTTATGGATAGGCATCTAATGATATCTATTATTCTTAGGAAGTGAAATAAACTATTACTAATCCAAGAGGTATTAGAAAAATTAAAATTTATTTAAAGGTTGAGATTAAATTTTGCAATATAGGGTGTGTGTGTGTGTGTGTGTGTGTGTTTGGAGATGTTTAAGGCAAGGCTTATATGGAAAATATGTATCAAATGTATGAATGGGAATTATATACAGAGTTACCTTCAACAGCTATGCATTTACCAGCGATTTACTTGATTTTATATAGACCTTTCTTAAAAAGTGATTTAATATTTTAGTCATTTAAAAATTGCCTTTGTTATATTGCTGGGAGTATAATTAAAGCAGCTCACTTTCCGGTTTTTATTATGCAGCATACTTTTTTCCTATTATAAGGCAGTCTACAGATACTGACCTATTTGGATAACTTCATATCACAGTTTTCTGTCTGGTGTTTTGGTCCAAACCAATACACTACCTCCATTTGTTTTTAGAATGTTATATTTTTAAAGAATTTGGTTCTGTAAATGAATTGTCAGTGTTCTGTGCATCAGTGTCACATGTACATCCTTGTGTAAGGTATTTTGAGGAAATACTGAAACTTCCTTTAATGTTCTTTCATAGGACCCAGATTGTTAAAAATTTCTGAACACATATCCGTTAGGAAACATCTTGAGAACAGTGTTCTGTCTTCATGGCACTCGTTTGTGTCCGTAGAGCATGTGCGTGGAGTCCTGGTCTGGCAGTAGTTAACTGCACTGTGTCAGACTGCTGCTGGCTGGCCTCGTGTCCTGATGTGCAGCCTGCAGCCACAGAACAGCTTATAAGTTTCGGT